TGAAAATACGATTAAAAGTTAAATCATAGGTAGAATAAAATTCTTAACTTTATTTGAAGTTTTAAAAAATCAGGAGGGAAATTATATAAACCAGAGGTTTAGACTTACTCTTGGATCCCAGACTGATAATGAGAGCGATGGAATATGCTCCGTTTCCCTCAATCTAACCGGTTTAGGCCAAGGCCATTGACTGAAAATAGTAAAGAATAGGCAAACAATCATGGAAGGAGTGGCATGAGGGTAGAGTTGACAAACTCTAGCGACTAATATCGCCCAGCTTACGCCACCAAGGAAGCCAAGAGAATTAGAATATATACACCGTCTCTTCGCCCAAATTCGAATTACCTGTAGAACTATAATATGAACTGAGCTATTACCTTAAGGGCAGTTTTGAATGTATCTTTTCTATATACTAAATTTAGCATATCTTCTGTGACCCGAACACCATTAATACTACGAACATCTCTGCTGTCCATGTTTCTTAAGAGTTGCTCGGTATTTTCGCACAGATTGAAGTTGTCAGAGACTGACATTAAATCGATTTGAGCAAAAAGTAAATCAATCTAGCAATATGAAAAATGTTAAACTATACCTGAACGTCCATAAATTTCATTTTAAGAACAGGAACAAACGCATCCACAACGGCATACAGATCCTCAACATAAGGATTCTCGGCCAATACACATTTAAATTCGTCAAAGAACTCTTCTCTTGTGATAAATCTTGGGACGACCAAGAGGGAATCGATATCGGCACCGCAAAAATTGACTCCCAATCGATAAGAACCAAAGGTAAAAATCTTCCCTGTCGTCGAGTTTGCAACATGAGGAGGGAGGTTTTGTTCAAGGGCTTTCTTCCTTATCCATTTATTTGATATTTCCTGAAGACGAACCAGAGCTTCTCGGCGTTGAGCAATCTCATCAATCGTCTCAAAAATATTCATGCTGACAAGTATTGATTCAAGTTCTTGTGTCTCTTTATAGTCTTGGGACGTAGGCGTTTTAAAACTCAATGCTCCAGTTTCACCTAAACATCGTGCAGGTATGTCAGATTCCGACATCGTAGGCGTCTGAAAAAATAATAGTGAGATGAAAAGTATAAAAAACGGGATAAGTTAAAAGTAGGAATAGCTTAAGCATAAAGTGCTTGATATACGAATGTCAATAGAAATCGACCTACTTCAAAATGCAAGATAGGATACCCTACTACCAGCAGATATACAAGGACAAAAATCCGACTACAATGACATATATGATATTGTGATATTTTATTTAGCGTAAAGTAAAAACACAATAAATGCACAGTCCACACATATACTGGTCATAAATGGTAAAGTTAAACGAGAAATTCTGAGGTGAATTATTATAAGAGAAACTATTGTCTAAAATACAAGGTAATGCGACAACCATATTCCTTACTCGTTGACTTAAGGATAATAAAGCCCACGTCGTCGGGCTGCTGTCAAGTCATACAAGCGAACTAATCCCGACAGGCTTGCATGTAAAAATGAGCAATCACTTGCTTGTAAATTAAGAAAACAATATAAACAGGCAAAAAGGAAGGGCCTTCCAAGTAATTTATGAAATGAGTAAATGGTCTTGAAGGTTATTATATTACACACATTGATTGATATAATGTAGCATATACGGTAGCAGTAGAGAAATGCGCATAACTTTGGGGATGATAGGGCCAGAAAAAATGTATAGACTGAGGAGAAATAGGAACTGTGAAAGGAGACAGAAAATAGACACTCACTAAAGGATGGGTGGTTCGA